CTCCATACTTTCTGCTGGCGGCGCTGCACGCGAAAAATGTTGCCACTCATGGCGTTACTTGATGGAGTGCTTGTGCACAGCGGAGGCGTTGCTGCCTCCATCAGGTGAACGAGGGCCAAAGACGGATGGATTTGAGAGCAGCTACGATTGGCTACGACATTCTAGTTCTCCTACGGCCGATGTGTCAGCCACGGAGTCTAACTGCCCAAGGGCTCAACTAATAAATATCGGAGCCCTCCATGAATCGTCGCGGCGACGCCGTCGTGGAGTCTCCAAGGAGATAAGCTATTCCGGCAGGCAGAGACTCACGGATTCGCGTCGTCCGTCATCAGATGTCCGATAACGTACACCTTGTTGTTCCACTTGGGGTTTCCAAATAAGTAATAAAACAGAAGCCAAGCTTATCGAAGCTCTTCCGATCGATGGCAGCCGCTGACGAGCATCATCGGGAATTCCGTGAATTCCTGACCGCAGCTGGCCGGTGTAGTGTCTCTGATGAGCGTCGGATGCACGGTACCAACTTTCCGCAGTTTCTGAAAAAGAAACACTTTAAAGGGGCACAAGAGGGAGGAATTCCTTGTTTCTCTCGAAAGTTCTCATGCAAACAGAGCCCGAAGGCATCTTTGTAGTGTTTTCTATTGAGCTTCTTTCTGTTGAGAGAGAACAGTTGTTGTTTTCTTGCTAGTGGGCAAGCAAGGTGAGCGGCGGACCACCTTAGCCGATGCTGTCTGTGGGAAAAGTTTTTACACAAATCATCCTCCGAAGTCCTTCCCGGAGTTTAGTCTCTGCTCCTTGTCTTCTCCTTCGCATCCGAGCTATCCTCTCACGCGGACCAGGAAAATCGGGTAAGCAAGCCGAGCTGACGAACGGCTAGAGGAACGACCATGAAGAGAATTTTCGAGTGCGCGGAACTGATCGACCCGGATCGTCTCTGTCCATCTCTTCGTTTCATTCATCTGCTCAGTCCTCGCTAGATCCTCCTTCAGCCAGTGGTATAAAATCCACGGCTCCCACTGCTGCTAACTCATAAGCTTGATCATACCGTTACAGCGCCAGCCCACCTTCACTCCTCTAGATTAGCTCTTCCTGGCGGTTCGTCGAGTTTTTTCCTCCGTTTTCAAACGTAATAAACGGAAGTCGCTGGAAGACAAATTGACTGTCCGATTGCATTGCTAAAGGCCCGATTGAAGTCGAAACGGAGCTCTCTTGAGCATTCCGAGGTACAGTGACTCACGTGAGCCCAGAGATTCCACCGCTGCAGGGAACAGCTCGTACATCCGAGGGCTTCCAGGAGCTCCCGCAGCGGTTCAGAGAGCGGCGGCGCGACGGTGGCAGCAGCAGCAGCTTCGACGAATTGCGGGACAAAACGCGATCCGCACGGAGGCAACGACATCTGATCGTCTGTTGTGCCATAAGTCTGATCATCGAAATGTCAAATCATTTCCGTTGCACTACAAGGAACCATGGGAGCGGAAGCTGCCGGGACTCGACCTCTGTGGCGGGGAGACAGCGCTCCGGAAATCTAGCTGCGACGGGATGTCACGGCTAATAACAAAGCAACGGAGTTCCATCGAGCTCGCGAGCGAATGCACGAACGATGACGAAAACGACGATGCTCTTTGAAACACGCATGCTCGCTTTCAGTTTCGGAACAAGCGACTCTCAAACTCCATGTCAACAAAACAGCGCTGCCAGTTAAACCCTCGCGTCTCCCGTGCGAGCATACGACGGCGCAGGAGACGGAGTGAGCGGATCCAGGTGACGAGTAGCCGGCGACGAATAGACGATGGCATTGTTCCGACGAGGCGTCTCTGCTCTTGAGTCTAAACAAAGCTCACGGAAAAGAAAGCTCCGCAAGCGGGAATGAATGCGAGAAACGGTTGTTGTCGCGGATCGGGAGTGAACGTTCGAGTTCGATCATCAGGTCCCATTCGAAGCAGTCTCAAATCAGAGATTGAGACTTGGACCTCTTTTCCTGAGTAGGTCGCGAGGGCGAGATCGAAGCGTCCCCTTCCGAACCAAAGCCGCCTGGCATGACTTGTGGCGCACGAGACGTTCCCGATCGCTTCGAAGTTTCTTAGCGGAGCCGAAGTGAATTCCTAAATGGTGCGGACGTTTGACGCAACGTTCCTTTTCGAGGCTCCTTTGCTTGCCGCTGCTGCTGCCGCCGCTGCCGCTGTTGTTGCCGTTGTTATTGTTGCGTCTCCCGTCTGGTATCGTTTCATTGAGCAAACTTCCTAATGGACTCGAGCTACCCAACTACTAGAATGACGACGACGGGGTCTTTCTTCTTCTCAAACGAAGGCGAGCATAAGCCCCGCAATGCAAGTCGACTCGCTCTGGATGTCTGCCGCTTTTTCCGCTTCGGTCCTCGTAACATCCTCCCCTTCGCGCCGGTCTCTACAAACCGAGCGAGCGAGATCCCGCCGTAGCCCGCTGTTTCCCTCCGCTCACTTCGGTCCTTCTCTCCTGATGGGCTGTTGGAATGATAATGAAAAGTCTCGAGTCTACCACCACCACCTCTTCTAGAGCTTCGCCCAGGGATGGCTGAATGTTGATACTAAAGTCTCGGAGACGCTCCTCTTGTAGCCCTTGTCCGTACACAGCACATGTTTCAGAGTGCTGACGTCTCATACCGCCCCATCAATGGATTCGTCGAGCCGAAATTCAGTGTGTGCCACCGCATCTCTCGAGAGCCTCCCATGTACCCCTCGAGCTATAATAGGCTAATTGATGCTTAATTGGTGACGGTCTTTAGTGAAGTGGCCAACCAAGCGGGCACGTCCGCAGCGGGGTCCAGATGGAGTAGGATGGGTAAGAGAGACAGCGAGGCTAAAGGCTGAGGCGAGGTTAGAGAGCGGCTAAGACTGCGATCTGGGCGGAATCAGGGCAGCAGCCGGATGGGGGACGCAGTCTCTGAAGGGATGAATTATCCCTAATTAATACCCTTTCAGCCAGGTATCCCATTTCGCTCTCTCTTCGAAGTTGTGAGGTTTCAATTATCAAAAGCTCTCTCGCTGCTTTCGAGGTCAGCTCTGAGCAGGGTTCTGATTTTCGGTTGAGCCTCGGAGCGCTGAACATCTTCATTAGGGGGCTTCTCGAAACAGTTACGACTCCTGAGAGAGGGTGAGGTCTCTTCCGAGACGAAGAGATCGTTCCCCATGGAGAACTCTGCAAACCTACAATAATCTCAGAAGTTATTCAATCCGTTTTGGTTTGTAGGTCTACTCCGACCCAACTAGGGGCCATGAGTTGATCGAATAAGTTTTCTGGTCGGGAAGGATTCGAATCGAAAGGGAGCGGACGAGTTTGTGATCGTTCTCGCAGTCGCATCGTCGGTGAGGGTCCTCGCGGTGTGAGATCCCCGCAGAGGGAGATTGCTCCAGATCGAGCGCTGAATGACAGCAGGTCAGGCGGATGCTCAAGCTCCGACATTCGAAGCTCGTGCAAGAGCGCATGAAGACTTGTCAATGACGGAGCAAGCTGGGGCCCGAGATTCAGAAGAGGGCTTCAGGAACGGGCGGCTAGGCTGGCTGGCGAGCGGGTCGGACGACCAAGCCAGTGAGCGGGCACGCCGGCCGAACCGGTAGGGGGCGGGGGGGACGCGTTGAAGAGAGTATGTTTGCGTGCCAGTGAGCGTGTTGGTCCACTGCCAAACGGACGATGCTCGTTGCAGCAAACAGCTCTCGTCGTTAAGCGGGTTAAGCCAGGCTAGACGAGCGCCTGCGTGCTAGATGGCGATAAACGCCCGTCGGCAACACCAAGACGTCGTCTTTGCTGGCTCACTGCCTTCGCGACTTATATGCCTATATAGCTGTATTCTATATAGCTATTATATAGGGCCTCGTAAAGGCGAGAGACACCACTTAGCCGAGGCGGACAGCGAGCCGGCCGGCGGCTGGGCTGAGGGACGGACGGACGACCGACAAACCGACCGACCGACTCGCGGCTAGTGAACTCGCGACAAGCAAGCGAGCGAGAAACTATCCGTGGCTTCGGTCGCTCTGCTCGACGGGCGCATGCTCGCTCCTTGCTCGAGGAAACGTTTGGCGTCGTCTCTCCGGCTTGAGAGCCTCTTCCTTTGCAAGGGCCGCCGAACCATTAGCTACCCTCCGTGACGAAGGGGAGCTCTGCACAAAGCTCAACTCCTTGCTTCTTCCAGACGGGGTGTCATCAACAGATTTTCGTTGATGAGGTCGAGCGGTACAAACCATACATGCTCACTTTCGACGCTGGATGTTGCGAGTAGGTTTCTCTCCGCGCTCCACGACCGTAGTGAGCAAGGATCGCGCGAAAAGGCTTCCTCTTCGTCTCTTCCCGGAGGGAGAACGCGTTCTCTCACCAACGCCAGGAGGAACAGCATGCACACGCCTACGTCTTATTCCTAGCGGGCGAGGGAAATTATTCTACGAGAGGAATCCAGCTGTAAGTACGTATGTCCCGTCCCGGGATCGCTTCGATACGAGCAGGAGGAGCGATTATCGCGGATTTCTCTCGGGGGGAGGGGGACGACAAGAAGCCAAACGAAGTCCCGAGGTCCTGCTCTCAGGGCCGATACTTGGGTATGGAGCGCGAAATTCTTCGGGAGATGTAAAATCTGAATCGAAAATGTCTCCGTCCACGTATTGTACCGAACTCGTCAGAAGATGGGCGATAGTGCTGAGACTAATATCCTCATCGCCTCATGATCCAGCCCTCCTTCGCGGTCTCGTTCCGTGTTCCGCTTCCAGTTTTGCAGCGGGTCTCGCTCCCATACTTCCCGGTGATAATGTTGGTACACCCCGGATAGGGGCCAGAGCTCGGCGTCATGGAGCTCCGTGTGAACGTCTGCTTCCTTTGATCTTTCGAAACGGTTGAACTGACCAGTTCCCGGGCGACCGATGCACGATGAATACAAGGTCGGAGCAATTCTGATTCACTCGACTACGACAGCAACGAAGTTTCTCGAACAATCACAGACTGAGATCGGTGGTCGCGACAGATTCTATCCAGCAGTCCAAATGCCTGTCTTCCGAAAAGGCGAAGTGATCCTCTTCTCGAGACCTTATGCCTTCGCTCTGTACGAGTCATTTGTTGATTCAACTTGCTCGTTCTGTTTCCGAACTCAAGGAGATGGTCACGATTTCGCACCGATCGAATGCCACTCCTGTAAGGTATACAAATACTGCTCCGACGAATGTCTGGTGAGTTGACTCAACGCGGTGAATCACGGTGCTCTTACCGGAAATCCCTTTCGCTTTTATTGGCGCAAACCGCAGTGAGCCATAGAGTTCTTCCAGCGCCTCGATCAAATGGACCACTGGCTAGAGTGCCAAGTGGCAAAGAGGAAGTTGCGGGAGTTCCCTTCGATCGAGGCCCGAATGATCTACAGGGCTTGCTTGCGATACATGCGCGAAAAGCAAACGCAACAGGAGAGCGCCGAGTATATCTTCGGTCACAAACGTTCTATTCACGCTTACCTGGACCATGTCGATAAAATCTCCACGGAGCGTCGAGAGGCCTTCTACGAGATCGTGGACGATGCGCTGGATCTGGTATCGAGCATCTATGCGCCAGACCGGGAACTTATGTTCTTAATGCTGAACAGGATCGCCATCAACAGCCACGATGTCATCTGCCCTAAGAACTGGAGCATGGGAAGGTGAATGTGGTTTATGAACTATTTTCATTTTAATCGGGCGCCGAATTCTCCGTACGTCTTCTCGCCGCTGTCCGATTATCCCTCCATTGACGTCGGGTCTCCGTCACAGAGCAATATACATGGCGGGTTCGAAGGTCAACCATTCATGCGAAATCCACGATCGCTTCGTGCAACAGTTTTTCGGCAGGAATTACGCGATAATGGCATTGAAAACCGTCGAGGTACTTTGACTTTTCTGGCCTTGAGGCGAAAGCGAGGGATTCCTGTTCACAGCTCGTCTTCTGGGTGTCGGAACTGATAACGTTTTCGAACTACAGATAAACTCCGTGGACGATCTCAGCGTGCCTTACCTGCCCCTCATGATGGACGTCCACGCCCGTCAGAAGCATCTGAAAGACAATTACTACTTCGACTGCAAATGCTCCCGTTGCCTGTACGAGCTGGAGCACCCGACGGAGAATCTCTGTCCTCCTGATTACATTCCTCAGCTGGTAGACGCGCTCGAAGAAGACGAGCAGGAAATTGAGTTCAACGCCGACTATTTCACCCTGTGCAAGAATCATCTTGGGAATTTGTCTTCGGTGGCCGACTACGACTACTACAAACACCGGCTCCTCTACAATGCGATGTATGTCTCTTTCGCCCTGAATCGGTGCCCGGAAGGTATCTACTTTGGGTTGCGAGCCCTGAGAGCTGCTCTTTCCCCAATGGATTGCGAGCACATTCTGGTTGGACTCTTCAACGGAATGATGTCTGCGGGTTGGAGCAAACCGCTGCACCCGAAGTTTGCCGATTTCGTTTCCGTACTCAGAATCGGCTCTGACTATTTCACCACGGTTCGCGGCCCTGGCAATTCCATCGCTCGAGATATGCTCAAGCAGTGGTTCAAAGTGCAGTATCACATCGACGCACTGAAAGGTGAGAAAATCGAAGTATCGATGCCGGCAGCCCTGAAGCGAGTCGGTGCGGCCTGACTCTTCTGTCCTCAGGCCAGCGATCTTCATCCGAGAATGAGAACTATGAATAAAACAAGAGCACGATGATTCCGCGAGGTTCTTCGAGTCTTGATTTCACGCTCGAATTCCGATTCGCCCCGATTTGAGGGCCAGAAGTCTACCGAGAAGCCCGATCAGGCGGATAGAGCGAGGCGAGTCGAGAAAACAATTCATTACTGGATCCGGAAGTCATTACTAGAGGAGACTCGGCATCGATTATCCGGACCCGATCGTTGCTCGAGGCTCGCCGATGGCTCACCTTCACTGTCGCTTTTCCTCAATGCGGACGAGCCGCAGCTCTCTCGAATGGTCACGACCGAGCCGGGGGGCGGGGGGGGGTAGGGCGATCACTCGGCTGGATATCTCTGAATCTGTCTATCTATCTATCTCGTCCGAAGAGCTTTAGGAATTCAGGTATTCATCTTGAGGAAAGGCGAGCTTGTGGAACAACTATTCGAGGTTTTCGGTCGCGCGTCTCAAGTTGAATACAGCTCGCGGGATCGCTTTCCGAGGTCTCTGTTCCTCATAGTTGGATCCGCTGAGATGAACGATATCGGCCAGAGATTATTTCAATCAATTCCTGTTCACATCACGAGTCCTAGCACGGCGGATCTGCCGGCTCCGCCGCTTCGTTTGATACCGTAGAGAAAGAATTGTCCCCGCACCGAGCTCGCCGACCGTCTGGGATTCCGCTGCTCACAATCAGTCATTTCATTCCCTCAATACGAGCGAGCTCGGGGGGAGTCTCATGGGGAACTAGAGTCGCGTTTTCGACTGTCGTCAATCGTCTCTCGCGGAAAGGACGAAACTTGGGTAAGATTCAGTTTACTTCGATTCCATTCGATCGGCGGCCTCAGTCACAGAAAGCGAGTCCTTTAACTCATGCTGATGAAATGTGATTAAGAGTCGGTTTGTTCCGGGTAAGCGACGGACTCGATCGGTCAGCTCAGCACTCCAGGAAACGGTCGGCTCGCTTGTCTCTCTTCTCTCGTTGAGAGCTCGAGTTCCATCATCATACCGAAGCAGATTCTGGAGAAGACTTATTCATGGTCGGAAGGCAGAATGCTCGTTCCCTTCCACGTTCTCTGCTTCTCGCGATACCAGTCCGCGAGCAGGAGATCTTCAGTTGCGAGCGGGCGGTCGGGTGAGCAGAGGAAAAGCGCAGGAAATGAATCCGATTTGTAAACGTCATCCCTCCGTCTTCTGCGTCCGCGTCTCAAGCTCTTTCCGGCGTCAGCGCTGTCGTCGTCCGGGTGCTATCCTTGCTTTCCGTCTCCAGTCCCGACTCCTGGCGGGTGTTGCTCTTCTGCTTAGTAGTCAGGCAATCCTACTGCGGTAAAAACTTGTGGTTAGGAGCAATCGAACGGATAGGGAAGCGTCGGCTGTTGATTCGTCGGCTGAACTGAGCAACAAGGGGATGGCCGGGCGGCGGCGAATCAGATGGAACGCTAACGGGAAGACACCTCGCGAAACAGGTGGGATCCGAGCGGGAAACGAGTGAGAGAGGGAGGGCCACTGCAAAACAAAATGAAGCGGAAAACTGAGAGGCGAAGAGGACACGCATGTTCCTGATTGCTTCGATCGGTTCTTCAGTCGGTCGGTCGAGCAGGTGCTTAGGCGCTTCCAGCACTCCGGCAATCAAATGCGCGAATCTCTCGGCTTGCGATTTCTTCCTCGTCGCGTTCTCTCGTTACCGTGATTCACCACCACTCAGTCAGGCAGTCGGACAAGCGGCACGCCCGCCCGCGAGGTTTTTGCTCGTTGCGTTTTTGTGTACACCGGGATACTCATGGAAAGCCGGACGAGGAAAATTATGGTCCCCTCTCGCGATTGATCCATTCGAACAAGTTTGCCTTACGTAATGCCTCAGATAGAGCTGGTCCCGCAAGACGAGAGCTCTTTTCCGCCATTCTCCCCTCTTTTCTCCCGTGCTTCTGCGCTGCGACCGTGTGCTTGATCCTCGCGACTTCTACTCCGACCAACCGACGATAAAACGTCGTTTCGCCGAGCTTCATTGCCGTCTTCTCGATCATTTCGTACCTCTCCGTCTCTGTGCGTTCGAACTGTAGGATACGTACATATGGGCCATAGGGCGTCGAGACCTCCAGACTGAGACATTTGATCACTCCCGCCGATGTGTTTTCATCCGCGGAACTTGACCGCGGGGCGCCTTGTTCGCCGCACGCTCTCCTCTCGCTCATATCGCGGCGAGCAGTCCTCAGCGAATGTGGGCTCGGAGGGGGTTCGAACGCGAACGTAAGAAGCAGCCGTTCCGAGGGTTCCGACTCGAGGGAACTCAAATTCCAGGCGGCGAGTCTCACCTACACTCTTTGTCAGTTTTTCCTTGCTAAAATCCTCCCTGATTCCTCCGACTGGAATGCGTGTCGAGCTCGTTCTCGGTCGCCCGATACCAGATGGCAGAGAACTCGGGGAAAGAACTCGACCCCGGCTCTTGCGGAAGCGGAGAGATCCGATTGGAGTATTCCTGAAAACGAAGGAATAATCCTCAGTGAGAATCAGAGCTCGATTCTTCGTGATTGGCGTGAGGGGTCCCCGAATTATCTTCTCCAGGGGGAACTTGGATCGTAGGGAAGACCCGTGGAACGGAATCTTTGTATATCCGCTTCCTTGCAGATGGTCAGACCGCCGGGTTATGGTCGTAATTTAAGTTATTCACTCTCAAGTGGGGATATGCAGGAATTCCTGACTCGGGGGAAGACGCTCACTATTTCTCTCTGGCGAAACTGGCACAAGAACCTCGTCGGAGTTCCAAGACCCTGTCGGATGTCTTCGACTCACGAGATTCCCTTCTACGCCGAGTTGACTGAAGTACAATATCCGAGATTTCTTTGCGAATTTGGGTCAGCAATCATCGATCCATCGAGAGTTGGGTCGAGAGGGAGTAGCTAGCCGGAACAATCCGTATTGGAAGAAAAGCGATTGAAAACTGGAATCCGGAATGAAGATCCCGGGGGAGGTAATCAGGCGAGGAAAATACTAGCTCCCGAGGGAATCGCTGCGCAGATATTCTTCAGAACGTACGCGGAGCCCTGATTCAAGCAGAGGGAGCTACGGAGACACTTTTCCCGTGCGTGAGGGGGACGACGGTATCCCGCTTAACCCTGCGACGAACTCGATCCCAGGGGAGCTGAATTAGTATGCACTTTAGGAAGTGAAATCTACGAGTATGAAAATGAGGCATTTGGAGTCCAACTGCATCGTGGTGATGCTTCTGAGCTCGCAGGATTGATGACGCTGCATCAGAACTGTCCGACTCAATGTTCCAATGTTGACGTGCTGCCACGAAGGAATTCAGGCGGACAGAACGAGGCCAATGGGGAAGGGGCGGGATCGCGCACTCTCACCTCCAGCGCGAGCAGCAGTGCAGACCCAGCGAAATTGAAGTCCGGGGAGCTGAAGATAGATATAGAGGATTTCGAAAATGCGAGCGAGCGCCCGCGCTCTGAAGTAGTGTAGCATTAAAGCCGTGTATTCTGAGAGAGCCACGTCGTCGGATCTCGGGCGGTGCGAACGGGTGGAGCTTTAGTCGTCAGAGACAAATATTAGAGGTGCAACCTCATCACTTGAACTTTGCTCGCTCCATCCCTCAGCGCAGCGGTCTCATTTGACACACATTGTGCACCTGGCTCGCTTGGCGGTCGGAGGGTCGGTTGGCCGGTCCGTCCGTCCGAGCGACCGGCGAAGCGGGCGGCTCTCCTTCTCCCCTCGCCTCGGCCACCGCTCTCGAAGGAAATCTCCGCTCTACGCAAAATCATCTCTCGTGTCGAAAATGAAGGAATCGGCATCGCTTCCTGCGAAAAACGTCGTTGGCCGACGCCGACGCGCTGGTGGAGCGTCGCGACGCTCACGTTGCTCGTTAGATCGCCGCTGCCGGTCGAGCTGCCGAGCTCATCAGTTTCGGTGGGCGATTCGCACCATTGGACGATGCTCCGTTCGAGCAACGAGCGCGACTCGCTCGCTTGCGTGGACACGTGCGGAAAAACGTTCGGAGAACAGCCCTGGGCTCAGGGCTAGGGGAGGCGGTCGGCCGAAGGCGCGAATCGACGCGAGCTCGCAGCCGGCTCTTCTACGCCATCAATCGAGGCACATCGAGTCGCTACGTTGTTGACGGCGTCGGCTCTACCGATCGATTTGTGCTGAAATATTTTCGCGATTGCCCGAGCAATTAGGCAGTGTACCTCGCTGTTCTCGTTTTGGATTCACCCATCCAAACGGCAGCGTCGACAACAACGATGACGACAGCAGGTCGTCGAGCCCCAACTCGGCACGGGAGGGACGCAAGAATTTCCAAACACACATGTTGCGTGCTCCCCTTCTGGAGTATTCATCGGCGAGCGGGCCCTGCACGTCAGATTGTCGGTTCTTCCCCTGTCTGTTCTTGCGTCGGTGCGTCCGATCGTCTGTCGGAGCGTCGTCGGTCGGCCGGTTCGCCTGTTGGACATGCTGGCTGCCAATATCCTTCCTCTTTCCGTCCTTTGCGGCTGGAAGTCCAATAGGGTACCGGCTGCCGGGGGCAATGATTGGCAAAGCGAAGAACCCTGTCGGATAGTTGTCCGTGGCTCGCCCGCTTGCTCTTCTGAGCGGATGGCCTGAAAGAAGCGGGCAGCAAACAGGCACGCAGACAGCCCGTCCGTCCGGAGAGTTACAGACTCCGTGAGAAATCGAGCGAGAGAATCAAAGAAGGAAATTTGCCGCTCCGCTCGCTCTTCACATTATCCAATACAACACGAAGGAGACGCTCTCGCGAATCAGACAGCTCGCCTGACTGCCTGCCTGGAGCGAGCCAGCCTGTCCGCCATCTCGCTCGCTAGTTAATACTCAACTTTCTCTCTGTTTGATCGATGGCTGGAAGCGTCTGTTGAAGGGCCGCGTGGAGACGACTGTCAACTGTCGGAATCCGCTGGAATATTCGCCTCGATTCGTTTCTCCTCGATATAGTACTCGAGCGGCATCAATCG